TAATTTCACCAATCTCTGACCAGACCCAGTCGTGGCCTGGATCTCAGCACATCTCTGAGATCGCGTTGGTCTCACTCATGCTTTGAGGTCATTAGATCCTGTGGTATGTAGAAATTATTATGCTGTTAAATGCATCATATCTGAACAGAAAAGACTGACCATTTGGCCCTTTGGAGATCAAAGAGTCTTAGCCAAATGAGGGATCAGATAATTTGTGCTCTCATAAAATATTTTCAGTCACGTCATTGACAATAGAAGGAGGCAAATGGAAGGGGAATACAATGTATTAAAATGCCTTCTTTTTCTAACTTCTGACAGTTACGTTGTTCCTTAGCATTTTGGAATAAAAAGCAACATTGAATTTAAAAGGTAATATAAAGTACTTACAGGACAATTAAAATACATTCCAATACAGATTTAACTTTTCTCTCGGCTGCGCTCTACGTGGGCTGGGAAAGAATGGGAAAGTGGACAGAGGGAGGCTAAAAAAGTTCTAGAAAGAGTATTCTCTTCTTGATAAGATTTCTCGATAAAATTATGTAGTATTACATAACACTTCACATCCCTACACATTTCAGAATTTACTTTTCTCGATTAAAGTCCATCTATAAAAAGCCCATACATCCTCTCTTCACTAAGTCTCCCAAAGGTAGTGAATTCTCTGGAGTGTCCCTAGGTGAAATGGAAATCATCTATTTCCATAAATCTGCTAGATATTTTAGTTCCTGTAAATACTTGCACAGTCCTCCCAAAAAAAATACCTGGGGACAGTTTCTCTAAGGATAGAAGATATGGTGGGAAGAAAGTAGTGGTTGGGAGATATTTATGAATTTATTTAATCAAGAGACTAAAATTGAGGTATGGCTGAAATATCAGGCTAAAATAAATTTTATCTGCCTACTCTATCAATGGCCGATTGGACTTGATATTGGGTAGAGAGGATAAAGATAATTTTTTCTTCCATCCCGACTTATACGATTTCTTTTCTCTTTATCCTTTACAGATGACTTTAGCCGAGTGAGATTAGTCTCCATGAATGAAGAGGAAGGTGCAGACTACATCAATGCCAACTATATTCCAGTAAGTAGGAAAACAGACAAACAAAAAATCAGCCATTCAAATGCCAGCCCAGCCAGCGGAAGACTATTTAAGGCTTTGTGAATGTGTCAGACAGTTAAAAAGAGAGCCATTCCGCACCTAGCAAGTGAACTCTAAAGAACAGTTTCCATTATTCCATTTCAGAATAAAAAATGGGGAAAAAGTGAATTTATTAGTAATGATCAGATTTCTTTGTACAGGGCTCATGAAAGAGAAAGTAGATCATTTTGTTAAAGATCACCTTTGCTGCGTTTAAATTTCAGTTTCAGCAACCAAACTCAAAGGGCTTCACCTGATCATCTGTGCTTTTAGAATATTTAGAAAGATAGTGATTGTTCTCATTTAAAAAGTGTGGGTGCGATTTTATAGACTTCTGGAGAACGATGCTAAAATCACAGACTTATATGGGCAGTTACTCTGATTGCCTCTTTGATGGAGAAGAAGACGTTACATAGGTGTGTGATCCTTTGCCAGTTTTATCAGCAGTAAATTTTCAGCTTTTTCCCAATGGGGTGAAGCAGCATTTGGTGCTGACAGTGGCTGGTTAGGTGATAAGTTTGTCACTTGTCTTTCAGGGATACAACTCACCACAGGAATATATTGCCACCCAGGGGCCGCTGCCTGAAACCAGAAATGACTTCTGGAAGATGGTCCTACAACAGAAATCTCAGATGATTGTCATGCTCACTCAGTGTAATGAGAAGAGGAGGGTAGGTACCTAACGGGACTGTTCCCACGTAGCACCGCATCCTGTCCCAGGTGAAGCGTTTGCTGTGTTGCAGAAACTACTGCACTTTGTTTCTTTTTCATCCTTACAACAGTCCCGTACAGTTCTTCAGAGGCGAGTACCTTTATTTTCCCTGAGCACAGACTTCATTGTTTCGCTAGCCTGTTTGTTTTAAAAGATTGTGCTATCTTCACTCCAGGTGAAATGTGACCATTACTGGCCGTTCACAGAAGAACCTATAGCTTACGGAGACATCACCGTGGAGATGATTTCCGAGGAAGAGCAGGACGACTGGGCCTGTAGACACTTCCGGATCCACTACGTAAGTCACCAGGCAGGAGTGCAGATCCCCACAGTGACACCTCCACCCCTGCAAGTGCTGGGAGACCAACCCACCACCATGTAAGACCATGAGCTCTTAAGGCTTTGCAGCTGCTTCCTTCAAGAGAAAAATTCAATTTTTAGTGTAGTGGTTTCCCATTTCATGAGGATTATGTGGGTGAAAAGGTTCTGGTTCGCCTGGAGATTCTGAGGAGGTGCAATAAAAAGTCTGCCTTGGTTCATCTCAAATGAGCCCAGGGCAATAGAAGACACAGTTAGTCATTGTTTAGCAGGCATGACTGAGGCAGGACGTGTCCTCATCACCCACATTCACCGTACGAGTATAGTCAGGGTATACAAGGCACACTGAGGTTTTAAATTAAACACTTAACCCATGATACAGTAGTTTGTGTCTTGTTTTGTATGTTTTTCCTTATTTTGTTCTGGTTTGGTTTTCATTATTTGGAAGATCTTATTAATCATGGTTCCATATCTCTTGATGTGCTATTGATTTCTGATTGTTAGAGTATCTGAAAAGTCTATTTTTCTCAGAAGGCCTGCTACCTTTTTCTAGTATTCTCCACTTGAACATGCTCTCTGTTGAGGACAAAATTTAATAGGAAATTCCTTTCTGAAATGTTCTTTCCTACTTAAACACAACCCTTCCTAATAGTACAGACCAGACAAACTAAGCCTGAAGACCAAACTGACCCACTGCCTATTCTGTAAAGCCCATGAGCTAAAAAATGGTTTTTAAATTTTTAAATGGTTGGAAAAAGTTTTTAAAGAATAATATTTCCTATGTAATATTATATGAACATTATGTAAGATTTACATTTCAGTGTCCACAACGTTTTATTGGAACACAGCCACACGTTTGTTTATGTATTGTCTATGACCACTTTCGTCGCAACCCAAATTATATGACACGCAAAACCTAAAATATTGACTATCTGGCCCTTTACAGAAAAAGTTTGCTGACCCTTAATATAGACAATGAAAACAAAGATTGTCCATATCAGTCTTTCATATGGACAACAACATGAACAGTGAAAACAGTGTAAGCACTTGGTGACTGTTCCTTTCTGGATATTTACAAGAGATAAATATCTTCTTACCTGCTGGTAATTAACAATGGCTTATATTGCAATGAGAATTTAGGCAAATCCCAGTATGCCTGTAACAGACTATGTCTCGTGCTGCTCCATTAACAATGGCTTATATTGCAATGAGAATTTAGGCAAATCCCAGTATGCCTGTAACAGACTGTGTCTCCTGCTGCTCCATGTTCCTTTGAAATACACATCTCTTTGTTCCCCAAGCACATTTCTCCTCAAACACAGAGTTT